GATGGGTCTTGGCTTAAAGTGGAGAATACCAGAAAAATGTTTACCTTTGTTTTACTGACTTTGCAAAAGGATTTGACATTTGACTATGTGGCTCATAACCAATTATGGATTAAATTGTGATGAATGGGAATTCTAGAACACTTAATTGTTCATGTGGAACCTCTATATGGACCAAGAGACAGTTGTTTGAACAGAACAAGAGAATATTTTAGAGTTTAAAATTGGAAAAGGTGTGTGGCAGGTTTGTATCCTTTTGCCATACCTATTCAATCTGTATGTGAGCAAATAATCCCAAAAGCTGGACTATATAAAGAATAACGTGCCATCAGGAAGACTCATTAACAATCCATGATATGCAGGTGACACAACTTTGCTTGCTAAAAATGAAGATAACTTGAATCACTTACTGATGAAAATCAAAGAATGTATAGCCTTCAGTAAAGATTACACCTGAATATAAAGAAAACAGAAATCCCCACAACTAGACAAATATGCAACATTATGATAAATAGAAAATATTGAAGTTGTCAAGGATTTCATTTTACTTGGATTAACAATCAATGCCCATGGAAGTAGCAATGCAGGAATCAGATGATGTTTTGCATTGGGAAAATATGCTGCAAAAGATCTTTTTAGAATCTTAAAAAGCAAAGATGTCACTTGGATAACTAAAGTATGTCTGACCTAAGCCACGGTCTTTTCAATTGCTTCATATACATGTAAGAGCTTGACAATAAAAAAAGAAAACCAAAGATGAATTGATGCATTTGAATTATGATGTTGGTAACAAATATTGAATAAACCATGGACTTATAGAACAAACCAATCGTCTTTGAGGAGGTATAGCCAGAATGCTCCTTAGAAATGAGGATGGCAAGACTTTGCCTCATTTACTTTGGACATGTTATCGGGAAGAGCCAATCCTGGGAGGAACATCACGCTTGGGAAAGTAGAAGGTCAACAAAAAAGAGGAAGATCCTCAACAAGATGGATTGCCACAGTGGCTGCAATGATGGGCTCAAGCATACCTACTATTGTGAGGATGACACAGGACTAGGCAATATTTTGTTTTGTTATACACAGGGATGCTATGAATTGGAATTGATAAGCTGTTACATACTATTGCTATTTGTTACATTTTCCTAATGTATTTATTGACCCCTTATCATCATAAAACATCTCTAGTTTCTTTGTCTCTATTAATATATCTCGTCTTAAAATCTATTTTGTTAAATGTGAATACAGACACTCTGGCTCTCTGGCATGGTATACTCTTCTTCATATTTTACTTCCAACCTATTTGTGTCTTTTGATATGAATTGTGTATCTTGTAGATAGTATATAGTTTTATCACGCTTTTTTTCCCTTAAAAATCCAGTCTGATAACCATTATCTTTTGATTATAGTGTTTAGTCCATTCATACTTAATACAATTATTAATATGGTTAGACTTAGGTTTGCCATTTTATTTGTTCTTGATATCTCATTTAAAAATCTGTTTCTTATTTACTGCTTTTGTGCTAAACAATTATTTTTTATTGTACCTTTTAAATGTCTATGTTGCCTTACTATATTTTTGAGCTATATTCATAGTGGTTGTACAGATTATAATACATATTTTATCATGATACATGTCAGGTTAATACTGACTTAATTTCAGTATGATATAGTAATGTTACTGCAATATAACTTCATTTCCTCCTTTTTCCTTTGTGCTATTATTGTCCTTTGTGCTATCATCTCTATATATGTTATAAATCCAACAACATAGTTTGTAATTATGACTTCATACAATCTTATATTTTTTAATAAAATCAGTTGAAAAGAAAAAAAAATATTTGACTGCTAACCAGAGGGGTAGGAGCTCTGGTAGCATAGTGCCTAAGGCACTTGACTGCTAACCAGAAGGCTGGCGGTTCAAACCCACCAGCCACTCCTCGGAAGGAAGGTTGGGCAATCCTACTTCCATAGTGATACTGCCTCGGAAACCCAAGGAGGGGTCGCTATGAGTCGGGGCTGACTCGACGGCATATAACAACAACAACAACAACAACCAGAGGGGTTGCGGTTCAAACCCACCAGCCACTCCTCAGAAGGAAGATTGGGCAATCTACTTCCACAAGTGATACCATCTGGGAAACCCAAGGAGGGGTCGTTATGAGTCAGACCGGCAGTGAGTTTTGTGTTTTTGGTTTTGTATATTTTTACCCAGATACCATTTCCAGTGCTTTTTATTTCTTCCTACCAATTCCAGTTACCACCTGACACCATTTCTTTCTGCCCTGAAAGACTTCTTTTAATATTATTTCTATGGCAAGCCTGCTAGAAATGAATTTTCTATCTTATCTGGGAATATCTTTGCTTTGCTTTCATTTTTATAGTTTTGTTGTATATAGAATTCTTGAACAAAAGCTTTTTTTTTTCAGTTCTTTTAATGCCATTCCACTGCCTTGTGTCACCCATTATTTCTGATGAGAAGTTAGTTGCTAATTTTATTGTTATTCCTCATACATGATGAATCATTTTGCTATTGCTCCTTTCAAGATTTTTCTCTCTTTATGTCAACTGATTGATGCTAATGTGTATCTCTCTATATTTCATGAGATCTGGGTGCAAAACAATATGCTTGTCAGTAGCATAATAACTCACTGCTGTCGAGTCAGGTCCGACTCCTATCGACCCTTCCTTGGGTTTCCAAGGCAGTATCGTTACAGAAGTAGATTGCCCAACCTTCCTTCCGAGGGTGGGTTTGAACTGCCAGCCTTCTGGTTGTCAGTCACATGCCTTAGGAGCTATGCCACCAGAGCTTTCATATCTCTATCTCTATCTCTATCTCTATCTCTAATCATCTATAACTATATATCTGTATATCTATATCTATCGCTATATATTATTTAAAGATATCAGAGCATGGATATTTTTTGGTGAAAAGGCATGAAGTATATTACTATACAGGTGATGATGGATATAATTAAGAGACCATAAATACCCATTTTCCAAGGACAGTTACAATTTATATCTATTGTTCTGGTGTCATAATTAACATTATTCCTTTTATGTGTCAAAGCTTCTGGTTATATAATAACTCTAATTATATTCTGTTGAACTGATGTGTGAAAAACATCTTCCTTGGCCTCTAGGTGTCAATATCAGATAATATAATTCAGAAGGAATTTGAAGGTACATATACACACAGACAGACACACACACATACACACTGGGTTTTTGTTGTTGCTGTTGTTTTAGGTTCATTATCATAAAACAGTATGCAGAGTACCCTTCAGAGTTCAAGATTGTTGGTTCTATAATATTTACATTCTCACAATGAAGAATAGAGGCAAATAGAAAACATTTGATAGAGTTTAAGAAACCACTGGTTCTTTGGGGAATGAGAAAAGGGAATGGGCCTAGGTTATGTTGATCACCCACTATGTGTCAGGTACTGTGTTAGGTGTTTCTACATACCATTTCATTTAACCATTACAAGCTCTCTATGAGGCAGAAATTCCCTTCTATGTGTTGGTGTTGGGGAAACTAAGTCTCAGAGAGGTTAATAAATTTCCCAGGGACACACAGCCACATAGAAAAAGAAAGAGTTCATAAATAGTTCATAAACACTATTCTATTCCTTTCAAACCCTGTAAAAATTTGTGGAGCAACATCTATGTACTCTTGGAAACATTCTATAGTGATGACATGAGTCATGTATTGAGGACTCTCCTTCAAGTTTCGCCTCTAAGCAGTGTTGTGTTCACAACATTTAACAAACAATATGACAGCGGCAGGAACCAATGAGATGGGCATTGGCCAACTGGAACAGATGATGTGAGCCCTCCTCCTGATAGTGCTCTTGCCCTGTACCCACTGCTGAGTGAGCCCATGGAGGGATTGGGTGGTGAGCGAGGAGATCATTTTGCCCTGGCATTTTTAGCTATGAGTCAGAGGGAATTGTTCTGATTTAGCTCCACTTCTAACTTGATCTTCATCCCAACCACTCTCCCTTCTTTCCTGTCTGAATGCCCCCCACCATCTTCCACCTCATATGCCACAAGTATATTAATGTTTTAAAAAGTGAGACCTAGAACTTATTAAATCAGTTATCTTCTCATCTTCACCCAAACTCCAACCTCATTGCCATCAAGTCGGATCCGACTCATAGCGACCCCTCCTTGGGTTTCCCAGGTGGTATCACTACATAAGTAGGTTGCCCAATCTTCCTTCTGAGGAGTGGCTGGTGGATTTGAAGCGCCAACCTTCTGGTTAGCGAGTTGAATGCCTTAGGCACTATGCCACCAGTTCTTATTATTCCAATTCAGAGGGCTTTCCCTGTTCAGTGTCAGGGGAATCCTAGCTTCTCCACTGTTCTCCCCCATGACTGTAGAGATGAATGATATAAAATTTAACCAGATTTTGGACTCCCTGAGAAAATATTGCATTTTCTTTTCTGACCCAAAGGCTTTGGACATAAAGAGTGTCACGACTGGACAGAGAATGTATTATTTACCAGCTCCTAGGGGAAGTGGTAGAGATATTCATGTCATTCCATGCTTATCAGTAAGTATCCAGAATTCTCTGATGTCTGTCCCAATAAGGAAACACACTGATAGAAATGCTTTCCTCTCTCATCTCTGGCCACATGCACATTTATAAAAACATTATTCTGTAAAGAATGTTTGAGTATGATGGTTGAAGCTACCTTAAAGCCATCAGTTCTATGCAGTAAAATTCTGAATAATGATTGATAAGTAGAGGTGGGGAAAGGAGAGGGGGGAGATAGAGATTGGCAAAGATGCCCAAATCTGGATAGAAGTCATGTGGTGGCATCAGCCATTGTACAACAGAGATTTTACAAAGAAGTATTACAAAAACATAGGACCTAGTGAATCAATTTCATTTTTCCCAGATCAAGGTATGGGGAAGGTGAGGGGAAGGAGAGGGATGAACCACGGAAGGAAAAAGAGCCCTGGGCATAATGGTTGTAAACCTGGAGAAGTTCTGAAATTCATGGACAGGTTGCATATCCAATAGGGAAGCTTCAAATGTTCATTGTCAAGTTGATAAACTGAAAATAAAAAGAGAGAGATAAATAAGGGGTTGTTACCCAGCCACTTTCCCGCCAGCCTCAGGTATGGCTCCATTTTGTTCATGTCACGGAAGTTCTGCGATTTGATCATTGCCTTCAATCTTGGACATCTACCTCAAAAGGAAACTTAAATAAATAGGTAGATACATGATAGATATATAGATAAGGGAATACATAAATTCCTGAGCTCTCTCTGTTGAAGTAGCACTGCCTCTCTGAAGGGCAATAGAAAGTTTCTTTCCTCTTTCCTGAGGGGACCCTTCACTTTGAGGAGAGTGATGGTCCTCCATCACAGAAGGGCTACAGGAGAAGGCAGCAGATGATTGAGTCTTGGGGGATCTTCCTAAGTGAATAGTGAAGTGTGTATTTTGGCTAATTACCACGGAGTTCTCTCCTCTTGGCCTCCATCCTGACTCCCTATTGCCCCTCCTCCCCACCAGCTTTCCTTTCACAATAGGGGGATTTTGGGGAACATGAAATGGCTGATATTTCATGAAATATCATGAAATAATATTCATGAAATAGAGTGTCACACCTTTCTTCTGAGGGTTTCTTGTTGGACTCAAACTAACAATATCTCAGCAGCTGATTGTGTTAACTATTTGTGCCACCTAGGGGAATATTCCTCCACCCTGGGAAATAGAAGGAGGCCAGGCAGGAAAGACAAAGAACCTTTTACCACAGTCATTTTAGGCAGAGTGTGGTTTTTTCCTAGTGGAGAAGAGGATGGGAGTTAAAACAGTGGCTCTCAAACTTAGCTGCATAAGGAATCACTTGTTGTGTTGTTATGTGCCGTCGAGTCAGACCCGACTCATAGCGACCCTTCCTTGGGTTTCCGAGGCAGTATCACTACGGAAGTAGATTGCCCCATCTTCCTTCCAAGGAGTGGCTGGTAGGTTTGAACCACCAGCCTTCTGGTTAGCAGTCAAGTGCCTTAGGTACTACAGTATCAGAGCTCCCTAGGAATCACTTAGGAACTTAAAAGAAATATTAATACCTGAGTCTCACCCTCAGAGGTTCTGATTTTATTGGAATTCGAAATTTTTCCCAAGTGATTCTAATGCATAGCCAGACTTGAGAATACTTCAAGGTTTAAAGTGAACGTAACAGAAGAGAGGATTAAAAGGTCTTTCCTACTGTCAGGAGGGTTGGAACTATAATGGGGTTATACCTTGCAATGGATTACTTTGAACATTCTTCTGGTTCTATTGGCCTTTTGACTAGTCAAGAGGCTGCTGGATACCAAGGCTGTTCCACTTCCCTTCCATTATATCTAGGCCAACACACACTTCCTTCATGCTTATTAGTGGCAAAACATTGAAATAAATACAAATTGAGGTGGCGGTGGGGGTCCTTCTTGTTTCATAAGATAATAGTTTGAGTATATGTGTCTTTCTGTATCAAAGGAGTGTCTATCACATGCTAAAGGTGAAGAGAATACTAGAAAAGAAAAATGCCTATTTCTGTTCTCAAAGAAAGTAAACTATATCTAGGGAGAGTACACACATAAGAAAATTAATGATGAGTCAACATAATAAATCAGCAATCATATGATATTGCTTTAAACCTGACTTCTAGTGTAAGATTAAGGCCTAGAATTACTAATCTCTTTCTGGAAACTGAGGTGAAACTGAGGCAAAGATCAAGTTGCTTGATCAAAATCAGAGGAGAGAAGGCTCCATCCTCCTGACTAATGCATGCTGCCACAAACCTCTTTTTCTTGGAATATTCAATAAAATGTTATCCAAGTACAAAGTTACTGAAAAATTTGGAAATGAGTAATGTGTGCAATGTGAGCATGGATATGGTGAAGAGGAGAAATAACAGAGAGATGATAATGAAACACAGGCTGCCTACTAGCATTAGTACAGTTCAGTACAGTTGGACAGAAAGAGAAAGAAAAAAGTTTGTTGTTGTTGTTGTTATGTGCCGTCGAGTCAAACCTGACTGATAGCGACCCCTCCTTGGGTTTCCAAGGCAGTATCACTACGGAAGTAGGATTGCCCAACCTTCCTTCCAAGGAGTGGCTGGTGGGTTTGAACTGCCAGCCGTCTGGTTAGCAGGCAAGTGTCTTAGCCACTATGCTACCAGAGCTCCCAAGGAAAAAGTAGGAAGTGAAAATTACAGAAACTATTGAAGGAAAACTTCCATGGTTTACTCTCTGCCTTTGGACAAGAGAATATGTCACAAGCACTTCTCAAACTTCAGAGTGATCAATGATTCATGTTAAAATCTTGTTGGATCAGAGATCACTGGGATTTTGTTAAAATGAGACTGAGGTGGGGGTGCCTGGGTTACTGCATTTCTAGCCAGCTCCCCTGGGTGAAGGTGATGCTGTCAGTCAGTGGACTGCACTTTCAGTGGCAGGTCAACACTGATTCTCTAGGGAGATGGCATATCAAAGCCATCATAAATGCTTTCTCTGACCCCTTGAGATTATGATCCATGTCCTCCCACCCACCATCGTTATTGCTGTCATTAGCCTTTGTAATTGGTAACAGTGTTGTATTTCTGAGAGCTGTGGAAGTTTGAGGGCACACACACACACACAAAACTTAAGAATCACATTATCCACAAGACAACTTGAACATGGAGGAGTGAACAAAATGGAAGCTATAAGGAAGGAAACTGATAGGATAGAAGGACAAGAAGACAGAGTTTGTGTGCTCACTATGATCAATATGATTTATTTAATCTTTCTGTGCCTCAGCCTCTGTAAAATGGGGATATTAAATCAATTGCTAAATGTATAACACCTTCAAAGCATTAGCTATCCTCCTCATTATAAGAAATCCCCCAGCTTGATGTGACTCTTCACAAAAGTCATGCATTCAGCAAATACTCATAGAGTGCCTACTCTGCCCACCCTGTGTGGATTCTTGAACAGAACGCTGGCTTAGACATACCTCATTTATATTGAGATGAATGAAGTTCTTGTTCTCTGTACTGAGAGTCTGGAACACTCCTGGTAGAAGAGATGTGAAAAAGGCATCACTGTTGAGACAACTCCTTCAATCTTTTCAATTATTCCCTGTGACTGCAGGGCCTCTCTGTGAAGTATGTGGGGGAGCTGCTCCACCTGGTGGTCAACTTGCTTCCTCCGGAGTAACAGGAAGGACTCTCCATCTGTTGTTGTTGTTATGTGCCAGTTGAGTCGGACCGACGCATAGCGACCCCTCCCTGTGTTTCCGAGGCAGTATCACTACGGAAGTAGATTGCCCAACCTTCCTTCCAAGGAGTGGCTGGTGGGTTTGAACTGCCAGACTTCTGGTTAGCAGTCAAGTGCCTTAG